TGTCTGTCAAAATAGCTTATTTCTACGGTTTACCATGGCATGCAGCTTCACATGTGCGAGTCTGAATTTTTTTGCATGGCATGTGACAAGGAAAAAACGGAAATTGATGCATTAGCATAACTGACATAAGTGAAAGCATTAACTGCAAGATATTTCCTATCACATACTAAGGAAGCCCGTGAAGCGGAAGTGGCCACAGCGTAAAGTGCGACAACTTGGAGCGAAACGCACAATATTTACAGGATTGCGGCATGCTGGTCAACTGGCGCTTATGAGTCATTTCTCGACCGGGACCGTGTCCACAATAAAGCCATCCTCTGTGGCGACAAGAACTACCCTGCTTCTATCCCGAAGTAAAATTTGAGAATCTCTCGTCTTAATTTGGCAGCCGGCCAGCCGAAGATGCCGGCAGGGGGAGGGGAGGGGGGTATCGACCCAAGCCAGGCAGACAAGGTCAACACTCTTTAGTACCGCCAACAAGGCGAGGCTTCTTGACAAAAGACTGATCAACACAGACGAAAAACAGAGACGTTTTTGTTCTTTTAGATAATGTTTACCTTTACACAAGGTTTTCGAAGTGATAAAGTATGAAATGGTAAGCGAAAAAACATAGCGTGGGTCCCAGACCGCTCTATTTTCTCAGCTCCAGACAAGCACTGTCTGTTCATTAGGCTTGAAATTGTCTAGTGTCATCAGCAGCTACACCAAACAGAACAAAAAGGCAAGGCCGATGAAGGGAAACTGATAATATTGCTAATTTGTAGCGTAATTAATATTCATTTGGCATGGGATGACCCAATACATGAAGCGTTGGTTGGTTACAACTGTGGCGCCTGTCACACATGCACCATACACGCGGCATCGAGCCATCGTTGTGCACTACAATTCTAAGTCAAGGTGCGAGGTCAGATTGTTATGCGTGACGTGGTGTTCAAACAGATATTAATGTGGTGGGGCTCAATCTTTTCTTTGCGCAAACTGTACTATGTTCCCGCTGTGCGACAAAGATGCCACAACACTTACTCAGCTTAGTTTCATACATTGCTCAGTATCCCCCAATTCGAAGCATCCGTTTTAATCACTTTCATTTCAGCGTGCTTCCTAAGCTTAGTTTCATCCACTGCTCAGTACGCCCGAAGTCGAAATAATCCTTTTAATCCTCTCCAGCACAGCATGTTGCACCAGCGGCATAACAGGCCTGATCCAACCTGGCAGCAAAGCAACAGGGTAAATATAACATGGCCTGCCACGAGTAGATGTTGAAACAGACATGACAGCTTAAAATGAGTGCGCTAAGGTAAAGTTAACACGACGTAAAGAAATGTTGCGTTACCCACGATGCTTCCGCTCAGATCCAGCCCTGTGAATCCAACGAGTTCAGTAAGAATTAATTAGTTGTTTATTACTGTTTATATATTACTCTTTATTTGTTTTGTCAATATTCCATGAACCTTTCAACAGAATGCAAGTGAGATCGGTAAAAATGCAAGTAAAAGTGAATGTGGAAAATGAGAGCTCAAAATGACATTGAGGTGAAAGGTAATGTTCGACATTTGTATGGGGGTTTTGTATCGAAAAAGCCACCTACAAGATTATTCGGTGCAGTTCACAGCCCTGCTCTTCATGAGGCGTAGCTCCCTACAGTTTGTGAGTTACATGCTCGCGAAGATGCGCAGACTTTTTCGTGTATACGATGACGCAACCAAACATTGACGTTTGAGAAGTATGTTAACTATATGGACAAATTGTACTATCTAAAGCAGTCTTTCAGCTTAAAAGTATGCCAATAATCGTAAGTGAGATTATTGCATTATATCTGCTGCTTGCTTCAATATCTTTAAGTGTTGGGCGATCCTTTTAACAAGATTGCGTTTGCGTTCCTCAGTCTCCCGTGGGCTTATCTCTTTGGGTATAGCGCTGCATTAAGTCAGTCAGTTTGCATGCACGGCTATAGATGTATCGCTGGCGCATTATATGCCAAGCTTAATTCCTCATGCGCTTGGCCCAATCTTATGTATACGTGAGCTGCAAAAAACGTTTCGATCGGTGAAGCTCTGAAGGAGTGTGAGTGGGAAGGTGTAGGTAGGAGGGGAGGGGACGCAGTTTTTATCCTGTTTCCGTCAAAGCAACGTCATGCAGTTCATGTTTGTTTGCAAGAAACGGCCGCTGCTCACCCACACCCTTTCCGATATTCCAGATGGATGTGTGTGCCACTCAAAGCTGATAGTGACTAGCTGAATCTGACCGAATGCAGATGCATTTTGGAACTCCTATTCCGCAGCGATTTGCTAAAAACCAGTGATCTTTCCGATGGTTGCCTAAGTAAGCCTGTTTTCGCATCGCTTGTCAACCACCTTGCTGATTCGTTGGCGGTATTAGTTCTGCGTCACTTCTAACGGACCATCATCAGAAAAAATTACCATTGCTGTGCTCTTGAGGGTATAAAACAACACCTGGGGTCCTATAATATATACCGAGGCAGCCACCGGAAATATAACTGGTTTTCAAGAAACATATTAATAATATATATCTGAGCTTCAGGTGTATATCATAGACAAGTATATTATAAATACTCCTCAACACTTTCAATATCAACATCGGTGTTAGTTCTGTCCTCCAGTATATGCTCGAACTCAACCCAATCCGCTTTTTTACGAAAGACAACTACGTTCTCGCTGAATTCAGTACAAAAAAGAGAACAATCTCTCATGACATTCGCATGAGTCATATTTTATGACATCTTAACAGAGGATCTTGATACGGTATGCGTCGGCACGCTAAGCATGATTGAAATTGACGTTCCCGTTTTACGTCAGATTGTTTTAGCCCAAAATAATCATAATCCATGTTTTGAGCAACTACTTGGTCGAGCTGAGTTCAATGCATGGCGGATTTATCCACAATCCAAGGATTTGTCTTATCCGTCAAGAGGTAATTTGTCTTATCCGTCACCTAGCATTATTGAAGACTTTTTACTCATCTGAATTTAACACGCGCCAGGGTGGCAGGTTGGATACCCTTCGCTCGGGTGATGTCAGTTTGACCCCCTGATATCTCAGAAACTAAGGAGGCTAGATACACGAAATTTAGTGTCTTGGGCTGTACCTGACCTCACTTACGTCAAAGTTTAAGATTCCTAGATCATGACTTTTGGGTCAAATCAGATCAAACAAGGTCAATCTCCAGTTTGTTTTTCAGAGTGTCTCAAGAACCTAGATACATGTCCTAAGCAAAGGTCACGTGATCATTTGAGGTCAGTGAACTTGCTTGATCTTTCGAAGGTTATGGCGACCAAAATCATACAAGACTGATTTATGTTTTGCATTTGAATAAGACAAAGGTTAAGCTAGGCGGTATGATCCAAAAAACAAAATGTCGACCTGGGTCATTTTAGGCAGTGACCCATTCTGATCTTTGATAAGTGCATGGAGGACGTAGAGTGCGATTCCTGGTCTGAATAAATTAGAAATAAGCACCAGAAACTATCCCACACAGCAAGCCCTAGGGTAACACAGCAAAATGACTTTGACCTTCATCTGACATCCAGAACTGACCTTCGGTCAATGAAATTCGTCAATTAAATTATTGTGCTGCCTAAAACAGTATCTCAAAGATTTATGGTCTCGTTTAACACTCCGTCGTTGCTTAAGATTGAACGATTCCCCAGAAATTGCCTTCGCAAAATTCACGGCTGGGCTTTGACCTGCCGTAGGTCAGCGACTTTATAAGGTGAATCTACATTTTTTATACCAAACGATCCATTATTTAACTGTCAACAGCTATGCAAAATTTGTCGCGGCTGGACCGTACCGTTCGGAAACCATTCTGGAAAAAACTTTGGGGGTCAATTTGACCTCGACCGAGCGCGTGGTAAACTACACGCGTTTCCAATGTACCATTTCCGAAGAGTGTGGCGACGAAATTTGGACATGAAAGCACGAGCAACCGTGGCTGTCGGTGATTTTTTGAGCATTTTTCTGGCTTCACGATTTGGGCCGGGCAGCAGCGCTCGGATTAAGCAGAGTAATTGCCGTGAAATATTCCCTTCGATAGCAGAGAGCTGCATATATATTGTTTATCGGACCTCGAAGATTCAAGTTGATGATCAGAGCTCCTGTCAGCTAAGTGGAAGCTGGTGTAGCGATTGGGTTTCTGGCCCATCTAGAACACCCAACCCGAACATTTTTCGCTTTAGATGTGGTCGGTTTCAGTCCCAGCTTTCAGAAAGGTATCACTGCTCTTTTGACATCGAGGTAGCCAAAACACCTGACAAAAAGCCGGGCCCGAACCCACGTGTCTGCACAAGGTTAGGTTATATGGATTAGAACCCTTTCGACCAGTAGTCAGCATTTCAAGGCTATTGAATAAAAGAGAATGGTTAACAGTGCGGTAAGATCACACGCGCTTGGGCACACAAGAATCACGCGCAGGGGCCCCTCTACGGGTTGTGCACTTGGCGCCCGGACTGGGGCGTCACCAGGGTCCCTTTGGCCCACTTGTGACTGGCGCATACGGGCTTCCGCGGGCAAGCGGGGAATCACGAGGATGCAGGATTAAACAAGAAAGAGTATGACAGGGTGGATCTGTTGATAGAAAGTTGATGGTTTCGTTTTTGGATAAGAGCCCTTTTGACCAGAAATGACCATTTCAAGGCTATAGGATGAAGGAAAATGGCTAACAGTAGTGCAGACTTGCGTGCACCTGGGGGGGGGGGGGGGGGGGGAAGGGGAGAATGCCGAGCTTTAACCCACGCATGTGTGCTGGGTACCCGGCCGGGGTCCCCTTCCCACGGGACTCTCGGCCCACTCGTGGCTGACGCATACAGCCTGCTCGGACAAGTGGGGTGTCGCGAGGATGCAGAATGAAGCGAGACAGAGGATAACAGGGTCAGATGTAGAAAGCCACGAACAAACGTTTTAGCTACTTACTGGGCGATGTCCTTTTCAATGATCCTTTAGCCCACAGACACACAAGACGCTTCGAATGAGACGTATGCTCACCATTTTCTGCTGTTTGGAGCTAGCTGAGACGGGACGGGAAAGCGACGATTTCTCAGACGTCGCTTTTCTACTCGCCATGCGACCGGACATCCTTGTCTCCGTGCGCGGGATCCTCAAGTGTGACCCCTAGGCTGAACACAGAAGACTGACTTGCAAACGTCACCGCTAGATGTCACTAGTGCTGACGCTAATGGGGCACTGACCTGAAATTGACAAAGAGAAACAACATCAGTATCATTTCGATAGCTTGGCTTCAGCCTATGATCTAAAGATTTCTTGAATAAACATCCTGAAAAAGAACCACGCTATTCTTAAATAAATCCTGAAAATGATCCGCGCACTCATGTCAATGGAATCAACAAATACGAATATAAAATAAAATGGCAGTGGTACGGAGCCTGCGGAGACCCAGGTTACCACGTCCCTGATATTTTGACGAGTCGTTTTATTTGTCATGGTTTTAGCTGCTCCCTTTTATTCCATGAAACATTCATAACATTTGAGCAAAGCGGTCAATGGTCTGCCAGGCACCGAAGAAGGTCTCTAGCTGTTGATGTTGTAGGGGAGACATTTGTTCTACGCAGCTTCTTTTCTTGTAGTGCATGTTAGGAGCACACAAAAGTGAAAACAGTCATTAACATATTTCACGTGAGGCACAATTTAGCATCTCAAATCAGGAAAGAAATTGCGTTTCCGACTTCACTATGCTGTGATCTCAGACTTTCTGTCACTTTATTGCGGCTTTGGCGGCTATCTGACTACCAGCGACGTCCGAGCTCGTTGGCCGCACTTTGGAAAACAACTGAGCGGCCAGTTTAACTCAGCTCACCTAATTTTGCTCGCAACTGCACCTTGTAACTGAGATGCCGGCACAAACACTGTCCCTCGTGTGGATCGGCGAGCTATGTTAATTTGCAGGATTTCACGCCATCAACGATTGCGAACGAAGCATGTGCCAGCCAATCCCGGGGAGTGAAGCGCTAGACGTGAGATAAGTAGCATGTATGTTCACCATGTTTATAACGTAGATAAGAATTAGCTCATGAACATGGATCTTACGATTTTTTTGACTATTTAAAGACACTTGCAACTTCGCGCGTCATTGGCGCCACCAAACCCTGACGGACATAATGTCCGTTGAATGTATTCCACCGCAGGAATCGAACCCACGCCTTTCGATCCGAGGGTCAACGCTATGGAATCTATGGACCGCTTTTAACGGACCGCTTTTATCCGTCAAGTCACTCGCCGAACTTTGCGATAGAACCCTGCACATTCTTGCCGGTCTCGAGCCGTTGCTCTGTTTACTGCACCGTCTTGGGTTTTTACTAAATCCTGAAAGTGCAGTGATCAGATCACTTAATTTCCTGCCACGTAGCCAGACGGCCTTCCCCTGCTCCCTGGGCTGCGCACACCGACAACCCCTGCAATCATTGACACAGACCTCCAGTGGAGGAGCGAAAGAGCACTGGGTCGCGGCAATCAAACTAGTAATTTCCGCGCCATCTGCCCGGTCACGGCCATCCGCGGCTGCGCCAGATCTGTCGCACCAAATGCCAGCGGTCTGAGCGCCGGCGACAGCATCTGGTCCAGGCGCGAGCCCAGTCACGGCAGCGCGGCGTCACGAGACTGATGGGGTCGAATGTCCTAAACGTACCTCCGTGTAACCGCCACTGGCGCTCGCCACCGGTGCTTGTTGCTGCGCGCGTCCTTCGTCTGGACCTGGCCTTCTGCAGCGAGCGGACTTGGCTCTTCGTTCGGCGGGACTCGGATTCGGCTCTGGACTCATGACATTTTGAGAACGAATCTCAAGCGGGGCGATTTATCACACAGATGAATCGGACTCGGAATGGTGTGGCTCTCCGATCACCCGCAGAAAAATACGTTGGCGGAGAACCTTGCTTTCTTTGGTAAAGCCTTTCAGACGCCAGTGTTTATGTTCTCTGTCTATCTGGGGCGAAAAGTAACGGTGGCAACAACTGCGCAAAAAAACGAACGTGTCAAGCTGCTAACTGCACGTCAGCTGAACTGACTAGCACTGGCGCATTCGGACGTCTGCCGGCATTCAGTACATGTCAAGCTGGTGCATTCGAAATACGTATCTCGGCGGATACGCGGACTCGGGTCGGGACTCGGGTCTAAAACAAAACCAACATGAATAGGAGTCAGGCCCGCACTCAAACCTCATATAAACCTGAAACTTGAACTCGAGCACGGATCCAGCCTTATTGAATGAAGGGTCAACTCAGATAAAAGTACTACGTGCGTAAAAATTACTCTTAAATAAGTACATTAGCTTGCCATTGGCTATTGCCAGACTTAAGCCGCCCAATCAAAGCTCACATGGCTCATATTGGTTAACGCTAGCCCCGTTAACATAAGGTAATAAGCGGTTCCTAGATTGCCGAAAATCTTAGACAAAAGTCAAGAACTCATCACACCGTAAAAATGGCACCGACAAAACCATACTTCAGTGCAGTTACGGTGCCGAGGACAAATTGTGGCACTACGGTCAAATACGCGGGAATTCATTTGAACAACTGCACTATATTTAAGTTCGAAACATATGACCGCTTGGCCAGAATTCGTGTCACACTATCATGTTTGATATGGCGGAGTGGCCGAACTCGAAAGAGCGGCTTCGTTGCCAAGTTGAATAATTTGTCTGCGATCTTGAGACATTTTACCCAACGGCGATTGGAAGACGGAAGAAGTGCTGCTGTAACCTCAACGCTAATTGGCTGCTATAGACGCAGTGTTGTGAGATGCACGCAGACACGGCATTTTTTTACTTAAAGCTTGCAGAACTCACGCAGGGTGGGTGGACGCCCATGCGGTCAAGGTGCGTGTGTTCGATTGTGGGTACCAGCAATGGGCTGAGCTGGAAAGTGTTACTGAGCATCTGGAAACGACATGGGTGAGCTGAAACTTGCGTTTTTTTGGAAGTATAATTTTATTTAGACACGCTAACGCTGGCTTATATTTTAACGCTGCTAGTTCTCTGTCTTATCGACAGAGAATTGGCTTGATACCTATCCCAAAGAGCCGATGCAGTGCTACAGCTGGCCAGCGAAACCAGCCTGAAGCGCTATTGGTCGAGAGGATCGAGCCTTCGACATCATGCGAGCGACGCCCAAGCGGGCGGTGATGAAGCACGTTGGCGATCCGGACAAATAAATTAGCCAAGCATGACACCGACAGCCGGAAGACGGACGGACCCCTTCTGAAAGCCATGGAGGGATGGGTGAAACAACAAGGATCGGCGCCAAGTCACGCCAGAATACCCTTGAGGGCTTTGGCTGACCGCACCCCCCCCCCCCCCCTCTATCATGTTGTTTTTTGTGGTAGTGGAGCAATCGTTGCAGTTTTGGCCTTTTTGCGTGCATTTTGAAAAGCTTAGAATAGCAGACCCTGGCGCTTCAACTCCAAAAGTACGCCCAGTCCGGCAAAAAAGAAGGACCATAACCTGAGGTGCAATAGTTTGTCTTGACCACAACAGCACCTATGCTGGAGCGCGGCCCGACGCCACAGCAGAGCTGCTTCCCAATGACTGGGGAGGGGGGGGGGAAGGGGGGGAGCTGACTTACTCCCTCCCCGGCGCAGCCCCTCGATCGAGGCCGACTGGAAACGTAACAGGACGACCTGTGGCGAATTCCTTCCTGTGGCGATATTCCTTGCTTTGGCGACATTTCTTGCTGCCGCGATGCCCCTTATTGTGGAAATATTCCTTACCCCGGTGACATTCCTGGCTGTGACGATATCCCTTGCTGTGGCACATGACAAGACAGTTTTTGTTGACAGCTGACAGTTCTTACTATGCGCAGCACCCCAAGAGTTCCATGCGCCACAGCAGAGGTTTACATATGTGCGGAAGCCCTTGCCACTTCAGTGGCATGGAAAACTCCTCTGATAGCCCGAAGCGCAATATGTACATACAATGGGCCCTAACCTCATGAATACAGCTGCCGTTCGCGAGTTTCGACCATGGTGTCCTCCCCGGCAAACTGCCTTGCAACGGTGAAGGCGTGAAGCGATTTGGCAGCTACCTGCACTGAAGGTTCCCCTGGTCGGGACACTTTTGTTCAAGCTTTTAACGAAAGATATATTGTGTATTTGCCGCACGGTGGACTCATTGCCTACAATGGAAATGCTCGTAGCTGTTTTGCGGGTTTTATTTGCGATTGCTGAGCTTGCATGGCTGAAGCACCATTCTTGCCTCACTCTACTGCTTTTGTCGTGATTTACCACCAAAACTTTCAAAGGTGTTCAAAACTGGTGTTCCCCATTTGTATGGGGTTTTGATCTGACGTAGCCATTTTGAAAACTACCCGCTGCAGTTCACAGTCTCGCTCTTGTTTAGACCAAAACCCCTCCAATTTCTGAGCGACACGCCCACAAAGATATGCAGACTACTTCAGGGTCACACAGGAATCCCATGACGCCATATCGACGTTCTTTAAATCCTGCCACTCCATTGGCAATGCGGCGATCAAGGCCAAGTGTAATTGCCGGGTCGTTCATATCTGGCGTTCGTGCGCACGATTTCCAGACATAACGGCCGCCAACTGGCTCGGAATCAATGTCGTGCAAGGTACGATGACGTAAACAACGTACAACATATTGATAAACACACTTACTAAGCAGAGAAATTGTATTGTCTGGATCAGTTTTCCACTTCAAAGAATACCAATAGCCGTGAGTGAAATTATGCCATCATATCTGACGCTTGCTGCGGTATCTTCAAATGCGAAGCACTCCTTTTAAAAACCCACATGGGGCTCACGTTATCGACGTAATGCGATGCTGCCTTGCGGTGTGGACGTGCGACGTTGGGACACATCTGGCTGGGATGCCGAGAGTGTTCAATTTTGCAGACTGAGCCGTGACGGCCTTGGTCGCCGACTGAATCTCATTTAAGGAAGCCTCTTTGAGTGGCCCCAATATTGATTACGTTGTCCTCAACGGAGATGCACACAAAGCGCTCAGTGTCATGGATGTCTCACGAGCCTCCAGTTGTCATCCGATCAATGTTTCTCGTAG